AAAGGTGTGGTTTGATGGAATTATTTGTAGAGATGGATCGAATTCTTCGTCCTGAGGTACTAATTTTTTTCAGAGTTTGTGCTCGAAATTTAACACCCTAGTTCTCCTGAATAAACCCCATTGTAAAGTAATTTGATATTTGAATCAATGTCATACATTGCCATTTGTTGAGGCACCGTAGAACTACTAGTGTTAGTTAATCGTTTCTGAAATAGTTATTACCTACTTGCACAACAGAATATTAGAAGTTATTAATATCCATAATCCGAGCTTCTGGATTTTTGCAGGGCTGGGTTGTGCTCTCTGATAAATTAGGAGTTATAGAGGTGGCACGTGCATATGCTACACAAATACGATGGGATGCGACGGTGATCGACCTTCAGAATGGTAGTGATCAACGCCTACTTGTTTGCCAGACACCTTTTCTGAAGAAATGATTGATTTATCACCAGAAGGTCTTAAGACTGCGGATTGTAAACTTTTCTTGATCCGGTAATCTTCTAATTAATCCGCAAAAACACCTTTCGTGACACACATGCGTGCATGCACAGCCTACATAAAACGTTAAACGTGTTTGGGAGCCTACATAAACCATTGGTGAAGAGATGATGTTTAGAATTGCTGATGTAGCTATTTCAGCAGAGGATGAACATTCGGCGGCATCGCAACGTGAGCTATGCTCCGGAGTTTCAATCAGTTCGATATAATCGACTGGAGGAGGGGCATGGTGGAGGATTGTAGATTAGCTTAGAACGAGGTTTGCTGCAAAAGTAACCGCGATTTGTTTTCTTCTCTGTCAAGGTATTTGTAACAATTCATTGATCCACATATTTTTTTTGGGTCTCCCTCTTGGTGTTAGCTTCGAGTTTGTTGATTTCTTTATTATTTTGATATTGAACCACCAATTTTATTGCTGTGCAATGGCCATTTACAAAATAGATATCGAGCACTCGATTTTTCTAATGGATTTTCTTTGTTATATAGTGTGCTTGTAATATAACTCAACTAATCACTCTCTGTTTCTTTGTATTAATCCCAAGGGTTCTTTCAATTTGATTCGTATTCTGAACTCAAATTTTATATTTTAAGGTTTCTCAATTTGATTCATATTCCGAAATGAAAATTTTATTACAAGATTATGTGAGAAGAATGAATGAAAGTTTTCTCAAATCTTAAGTTTCTTTAATAGTCTGAGATGATTATCGAGTAATTTGTGTTTGAAACTTTTTTTAATCATTAACAATACTTGTACATCTATAAACGTAATTATTCGAATCTAAAACTTTTAGAGAAAGTAACACTCTTTTGTTACTAAATAGTTTAATAAATTCTCTCGAATCTCAATTTTATCATTTAATCTTTTGATACAAAAATCATTATGAATTTTCTTTGGTTATCATGTCCAACGACGAACGCATGATTTTATCTCAAGGGATGAACTTTTAAAATTTTAAGAGAATAACAACTTAAAAAATTATAAGAAGTAAAAATAGATTATCAATTAAAAATATATAATAGTTTAACAATTTTTAGGTGAACCAAAAATCTGTAGCAGAAGAGGTGGACCAAAAGTCTGCAGTCTGCAAGAAGAAGACTGTTTGTTTTTTAACGTCTGCAGACTGCTAAAATAAACTGAAATATAAATAAACTGATTTTTTAAACTTAAAAGAGTTTTACAATATTGAAATTTAAATAATTTTAGTTTTATAATACTTAAATTTAAATAATCAATACAACTACAAATAATAAATTTTTTAAAATAAATCAATCTATATTTTAAAATAAATCAATCAATATTTTAAAATAAATTTTTTCATATTTTAAAATAAATCAATCCATATTTTAAAATAAATTAATCCATATTTTAAAATAAATCAATCTATATTTTAAAATAAATCAATCCATATTTTAAATTAAATTTTCCCATATTTTAAAATAAATCAATCCATATTTTAAAATAAATTTTTCCATGTTTTAAAATAAATTAATCTATATTTTAAATAATTTTAATTTCTTTGAAGAGGTTTGAAGACCGTTGAATACATAAAACCATGTCTGAATCAAGAAGACCTCGCGCAGACGTTAGAAGAGCTTCTGTCTTCTAAAAAACAAATGGTCTGCAAAGCCCAATGTCTGCGCGTGGTCCGCGCGACGCAGACATAAGAGCTTTGCAGACCTCACACAGTAAAAACAAAACTACCTAAATAATTAGTTTATCCTATAAAATTTAAGATATGATCTAAAATATTTTAAATAACAAGAAACATGCATATTCCTAAAGAGGGAAGATTCACGTTAAAAAAAATGAGACGAAAATTATTATCGGTTGGATAATTTTTTCCTGTTTGGTTAAATTTTATTATTAATAATAATAATAATAATAATAATAATAAAAAAGAAAAGTATAGTTGGAATCCGATTGGAAAGGGAATTGAACAAGTCCAAATAGATTAATAAAATGAAAAAACGAATGGCGCGCTCCACCATTGAAAGCCTCCCCTAAACTTTGCTCCTTTGTTTGAAACTCTTCTATAAGATGTCATCTTCCTCCTCCCCTCACCCCCATTCCGCCATTTCCCTTTCCATTCTCTTGAAGAACACACTCTTCGATCTCCATATTCACAATGTCCACTTCCGAGAAAGAGAGAGAGACCCATGTTTACTTGGCCAAACTCGCCGAGCAAGCCGAACGTTACGAAGGTAATCAAACAATAATAATAAACAATGATGGCTTCTTAGTTTGAGACTGTAATGCGTTTTTGTTTCTTCTGGTAGAAATGGTGGAGAGCATGAAAAAAGTGGCGAAACTAGACTGCGATCTAACGGTGGAAGAGAGGAACCTACTCTCTGTAGGATACAAGAACGTGATCGGAGCACGGAGAGCTTCGTGGCGGATCATGTCTTCGATCGAGCAGAAAGAGGAATCCAAAGGAAACGAAGAGAACGTTAAGCTGATCAAAGGGTACCGTCGGAAGGTAGAAGAAGAGCTTTCCAACATCTGCACCGACATTTTGAGCATCATCGATAATCACCTAATCCCTTCTTCTTCCTCCGGTGAAGCTACTGTTTTTTACCACAAGATGTAAGTTCCGATTCCCTTTAGATCTCTCGAATGATAATGCATTTCAAAACCCAATTCGATATTCCGATTCGTCCAGGAAAGGCGATTACTACCGGTACGTGGCCGAGTTCAAGACGGATAAAGAGAGGAAAGAAGCTGCTGAGCAGTCATTGAAGGGTTACGAGGTAAGTTTCATAATTTGATCAGTGTTGTTTAACATAACTAAAGAGACCTGAATTTGTGCATTTTAGGCTGCTTCTGCTGCTGCAAACACTGATCTGCCTTCGACTCATCCGATTCGGCTCGGCCTGGCCCTCAACTTCTCTGTGTTTTACTATGAGATAATGGATTCACCTGAGAGGTATGTGCCTGGCTACCGTCTCAAATGATATGGAAGTCATGTGTTACTTTTTAAAATGGTGTCTATAAAATATTTTATAATTTTTTATTTGTCAAATTTGAAACTACGAGAGATCTACGAGGTTTCTTTTATCAAAATTCATCATGAAAAACGATTAAAGATTTATTAAAATCTTCCTTTACAACTTTCTTTGTCATTTCCTCGAGAATCAAATAGAAAGTTTATTTTTCTTTTAAATTTAAACATCTTTACGACACAAATATTATATATAGACGGGCTAAATGACATTCATGTACTCTACGTCTATTATGATACTTGGTTGGTTGAATTGAACCATTTGGTGATTATGGTTTGGTGAAATTGCAGGGCATGTCATTTAGCAAAGCAAGCTTTTGATGAAGCAATTTCGGAATTGGATACATTGAGTGAAGAGTCGTATAAGGATAGCACCCTAATTATGCAGCTTCTAAGAGATAATCTCACTCTATGGACTTCTGATTTGCCTGAAGATGGAGGTATTGTATAGTTTTTAACTAAATCCTCTAGTTATGGACGACTTCTGATTTGCTTGAAAAACTTTGGTGAATTATGTTAGATACATATTCACATGACATTCGGACATGTAGGGATGACTATGAGACAAAACAGGTCGGATTTTCGATTAATTTAGTACTGATCTGAAAATTAATAACTCTAATCTTTCATGGTATCAGAAAGTGTTCTAATTATCTTAAATTCATTTCAAATTTTAAAATAAAACTCCGTCTTGTCTCTTGTCTCGTTTTAACTTAACATGAATGATTATGTTATATAGAAAGAGGGACATCAATCATGAAGCCCTACTTAGTTGATCTCTAACTTTGGTAAGCGTCGTCTTGGACGTGTACATGAATTGATGCAGGTGAAGACGGCGTAAAAGGAGAAGATGGTAAATCCACAGCAGCCAAATCTGAGGCGAAAGCCGAGGTAAGGGCTAATCAGAATATGCCAGCACATTCTATTCTAATTTTACGGTTTAATTGCACTAGACTCCCTCAAATTATGAGTCAATTTTAAAATAGTCCTTAAACTTCAAAACATGTTTAAATGCGTCGATAATATACTGATATTTTACAAACTCAATTGCAGTGTTTCGAACTCTGAAGTAATTAATCGATGCATTTCTTACATAAAAATGTCCAATTTTATTTTTTCCAGAAAAATTGATGAAGAGGAGCCTGGGAGCTTGAATTGGGTGGCAAAATTCAACGTGTTTTCAAATGATCTTTGCCTGAATTGGCTTCTTATGAACCGGTTAGCCCATTTTACAATGCTAAACGATCATTTGCAGTACTACCAAAAACCAGTTCTCTAATATGAAGTTACTTGTTGAAATTATGTAACATTTTTGTTATTTTTTATATTATATTGTTTCCCCCCTTCTTTTTGCTTTAATTTAATGTACCCCCCCCCCTTTCTTCTTGGTTATATTATATTTTATTTGAAAATGGAAATTCAAAAGGAAGAAGAAGCTGTCAAAAGATGGTAGAGCCAAACTAATAACTTTCCATCAAAATTGCAACCTAATTTTTACAGTAATACTGTGCAATATGATCAAGGAATATTACCGCAGCAATAAATCATCAGATCACAAGTAGAAAAGTCTAGTGCAAACATATGTAAACCCCTCCCCCAATCCCCCAAAATTTGTTTAGGGTCTACCTTGACAAAATAGCTTTGTGGCAAGCAAAAATCTTCATCATGATTTAGGATATCAATCTCTTCATCATCTGGTTTCTGAAATTTGCAGAAGTGTGAATCAGCTTAGCGATAACTACAACCTTCCAAGATAACCAAAAGCATAGCATCATTTAAGGTTTAGGGTTTACGGGTTTTTTCGTTAGAAAGGTATTAATTAGCATTCCGATTTTTGAGGAGGTACTGTCCTTTATATATGCATACTCAGTTTTTTCTAAGTTGTATAGATATTTCAAGGATCATATATGCCGATAAATGTCAAACACGGGTACTTAGAAAATGAAGAATACGGGTAGCAAGGACGGAGCCAGGATGAAACCTTTTTTTTTTTGGGGGGGGGGCAATATAAATAGGAATCTAAAAGGTATTTGAACCAAAAAATGGTTAGCCAGGTCTTCATATGCCTAGTTTCAAAACTAAGAGGACCTAAAAAGCAATTGAGTCTAAAAAATTAGGGGGCAAGACTTAATTTGTCTAGCTTCAAAACCTAAGAGGGATCTCAAAAAACAATTAAACCCATTTTTTTGGAAGCATAAAAGAAGAATCATTTGCAACAATTTTTTTTCTGTGTCTATCCATTATCACCATGTGAGCCAGACTAGAATTGCAATGATCTCTATCCAACAACAATGAGCGAAAACAAAGCATTGGAACTAGCCATTTTGTCAATTTCTACAGACATGGAAACATCATCCAAGACAGTAATCAATGCAATACATCAACTTCAATGGAATATCAAAGAAATTAATGGGAGTGGATATAAATTATCGAACAAGTAATTACCAGCACTTCCAAGTTGTAGAAACGATCTAGTAACTGCAAAACCTCATCCGGAGAAAAATGACGGTCAAGGCTGCGACAAAATTTAGCAAACCAGTAAGAGAATATGAAATACAGTAAAATAAGAACGACTAACCATAACTTAGAAAGGAATAGGGAATCAATACGGAGCACAAAGAACAGGAGGGAAAACAAACCTTTTCCGCAGGAACCCCATTAGACCATAGAGAACAAAGTGACGATGCACGCCTGTGGGAAAGCAAATTTGATTTGAAGTTATGCATTCATGTAGACAGTTAAAGACCAAATCAATCCTAGTTGTTTTACCATAAGCATGTGCATGAACTGCTAGATGCACCGATTTCTTTACCATATATAAGTCGTTTGAACAATTGAACTAACTCTAGTGATTCAAGTAAGCTTAAGTGCGTATTATCCTTCGATTCAGGGCTTTTGGGGGATGGGGGATCTGGGTAATTTCATAGGCATTGTATCAATAAAAAAAATAACATTGATCCATAAGCATTAAACATGACACGCACCGGTAGATTCTAAAACTACCAAAACAAATACACAATATAAAGCTAGCATCTTGGCTGCCAAGACCAGCAAAAAAAACACATATTTACTACAGGTTTTTGATATACCTTAACCATTTTTCACCACAGCAGTAAGCAAAATCAAGGGAATCAAGTCAATCAACATTTGAATTGATCATATCAATAGCATACAACCTTAATTATAAACAAAAAATTCCAATAATATCTTACTTTTAAGAGCCCAGGAAAAAATAGTTCTCTTTTTCTTCAAGTTAATTCCTAAGAATCAATATCTAAATTGAAACTAAAACGTATTTCTTTTTAAAAAACAGTTAAAAAAAGAGCATAAACGTACCTCGTAATTTGACAGGAGGATAAATTTCAAGTGCTTCCAATAGCCTCAGCTCCAATTCCACCTCATGTTGCTCCTATTAAATCAACAAAAATAAACGAAACTGTATAAATAATTGTGCAAAACGGAGAGAAGACGAACGCCGGGGAAAGCGAAAGCAATAGAAAGAGACCTTAGGAAGAGAAGAGGGGAGGACGGCGGAGCTTTACAAGGAGAATGTACGGAAACGCCATCTTGTTCCTATTCTTTTTCGCTTCCACCCTCGATCCCTGCTTTTAATTGACAATTTTATATTAAAAACTCCAAATAAATAATTATTTAAATAAATACGCCCTCTAAAAATTATATGAAAGAAAAATCCCAAATCATCTCCATCGGACGACCTCGCGGCTTGTAAACCGTGTGTTAAATTACTACATTCTTCAACACGATGGATATATCATATGTTGGCATACTTTCCAAGTAAGCAATAAAATAATTGAATAAAATGACATCGCGTATTACGAAGCGCAAGGTAAAATTTATGATCCAAAATATCGTAAGATTTATAAGAGACCTCGCGGTCTTCAAAGCACGAGGTCATTTCGAATTCTGTATAACAGCTTAATTTGAAACGTAAACATTAAATTACACGTTAGGATGAATTTGAAGATGAAATTAGAAGATTTTAAAGTTTAGGGATTAATTTTGAATAAGGTTTATAATTTGAGGATAAAATTAATTTTTTTTAATTTAAAGACTAATTTTGAATAAAAATTGTAATTTAAGTATATAATTGAAATTTTTAAAAGTTTAAAAATCAAAATAAAATTAAAATCATAATTTAAAACGTATCATACAATTAATTCTTTAAAATATAAAACATATTTTTATACTAATTATATATTTTTACGGGGATTGTTTGGCAAACAACTGATATCTGAAATTTGGTAGCTGATTCCAGTGGTTGGTTTGACCAACTGATTTGATTAGTTGATTTGAGAAACTGTTTATATAGAAGTGTTTGGTAAAATTTAACTGATAGCTGATATGAGTAAAATGACAAATAAGGGTATGATACATTTGATTGTTAAGTATATATATGTTTTATAATACTTTAATCTTTATTGTGGTGAAATTATTCGGATGAAATGATTTTGACTAGGAATTAAAAATTCGTTAAGAAAATTAGTGAATATTTTTGAGAATTTTGAAAATATTTTTTAAATTTAATATTTATAAATATTAATTTTGTGAGATCGATACATACTATTAACTTTGTATAAAATATCAACACTATATTTTTTTATTTTCATATTTTGTTATATTTTTTAACTAAAATATATTTGAGAATCTACAGCTAAAAAATAAAATAATAAAATAAAATTTCAACTTAAATATATTAGGATGAAGGTTATTTCATTATATTAGGTTTTATGGTAAGACGTAATTATGAAAAAAATAATGTTAAATATGTCATTTAACATTTTATTTTGCAATCAGTTCTTTCAAATCGTTAAATTTTTCAACATTTTCATTTACAACTTATTTTACACAATAAACAATTTCAAAAAAATGTTTACCAAATACTAAAAATACAAAACTAGACTACTAGAAACCATTCATGCTCAAATAAATTAAAAATTATTCAAAAAACTATTTGCCAAACACTCCAATACAAATACAATTACAAAATAAATAATCATATATTCTATAATGCATATTCAATTCTGAAATTAAGATCAAAAGTCAAATCTGTATTTTTTTTAAAAGAAAATAATAAAAATCATTATTTTTCCAAATCAACCCAATTCGGTTCGTCATTTGGAACTTTTTTGTATAAAGAAAAACCCTCGAACCGTGTCCTCCCTTCCTCCTTGTCACCCTGTTAGCCGCCTATTTCTCGATCCCCAAATTAAATCAGAAAATCTCCTAATTTCTTCCTCTAATCTACAAATCACGTAAATATCCGTTCAATTATTGTTCTTCCCTTACGGTCGATTCCCCCCCTACCCCGTGCGTTGATTTTACGTGTTTCTAGGGTTAGGGTTCTTCAATCACTTCGATTGAGCCAATTTTGTCCTTCGATTTCTCATGGGTTTTCGCTTTATTGGCTATTCGTGTTGATTTTTCATTCTAATTTTGTTCCATTTTTATCGATTCGTTTACCTTTTAGGATTTGTATTTGTTCCTTACATTAGGGTTCCTTTCCATCTGAAATTCTAAGAAGGTTTCGGTATTCTAAGCTGTGGCGTAATTTTTTAGAGGAGTTATCTGTCTTGATTTTGCTGTTTTTCTCTGCGAAATCGTAATTTAGGGTTAGGGTTTTCTTGTAATTTTGGGATTCTCCAGGTAGTCAAATTAGTTAGGGAAAACACGTCTCTCTGTAGTGATGTCAATTTCAGTCCGAAATTAAGTGTTTCTCTCATCTCAATTGAGGTTTCGTGATATTTCTAGCAGCCCAAGGTTTCCAATTTTAATACAATTTGGAGGTAACTGACTTCAATAATTTAAATTTATTCAAATTTCTGTGTTTAATATGTTAATACCTTTGCTTTAGTTTTGCATGAAGTATGAAATGGTATGTGCGTTGTAATTAATATTAACAGCATGGTGTTACCAATCAATGTCGTATCAAAATTTCTCAGTAATGTCAAGCGATGTTTATTGGTCAAGTGTCCTTTGACATAAGCTTAATCTTGAAAGTGATATGTTTTTTGTCTTACTATTTGTTACAGTGGATTTGCTTGTACGTTATTGAACTCCATCTAAACTATTTCTATACCTTCTATTTATGATTAATTGTGTGTCCCACAGGTGTTAAATGGGATTTAAGCGTCCTTTTGATGACGAGGAGCTACAGAACTTCGTTTCAAGAGTCCGAGACAGCTTGGGTATAATGACAAGCTGACCCAGTTTGTGGATTCTGTTCCCCATAGTAATTGCCCTAAAAAACATTGTATTTCAGGTAAAAGGTAACTGGTGTTCTTGCTTTGATTCAATGGTTCGTATTCTGCGGAATGGTTTTATACTGATGAATTCTTTCTGTGATGCAGTAGAAGTTGAGGGTGGATTTCGTAAACACCAGTTGTATGAAGAATTTAAGACTGATGCTCTGGATGATGTTACTCATTCGGTTGATGAGGATTCAGAGACTACTACTCCCTTATCTTTGGTTACTAGCATTTCTAGCGAGGAAGATCCAGGCACCGGCGTAGCAGCAGCTATTTCACCTGTTTCATCTGAATATTTTGACGCTGGTTTCCCTCGAAGAATGTTTTCTCCTGTTGAGGATGATTATTGTTTCCTCTTGGATCAGCCTCCTCGAAAACAAGTTCCATGTGGGTCAAATCATCAAGCCAATGTTCCATCATGGGATAGGCATATAAAGAATAATAAGTTTGCTGTTGCTTCAGAAACTGCAGATAATTACAATGAGGATATTAAGATGGGAACATGTGTTATTCCAATGCCAGACTCACATTTGTCTGCAAACAGCTGTGGTAATGTTGGTGCTGGCAGAGCTGATTGTAGCTGCCTGGATAGGGGATCTTCAAGATGCGTTCAACAGCATGTTATGGAGGCACGTAAACTATTACGAGAATCCCTTGGGCATGAAAAATTTGTTAAACTGGGGTTTTATAACATTGGAGAGGATGTAGCATATAAATGGAGTGAAGAAGATGAAGAGATCTTTCGTGAGGTTGTTTACAATAATCCCGTATCATCAGGTAAGAATTTTTGGAAGCAGTTGCCGTTGGTTTTCCCATCACGATCCAAGAGAGAGCTCGTTAGCTATTATTTCAATGTCTTTATCCTTCAGAGGCGAGCTATTCAGAACAGATCCAGTAGTCTGGATATTGATAGCGATGACGATGAGTTCTATGGAAATCAACAGTCGTATGAAGTTCAAACTATAGAGGAAGATGAAGACTCTGCTATTGAATCTCTTGCTGATCAGGAAGATCTTGCAAACGATCAAGACGACAATGATGTGGATGATGATGATAGTGGCAATTCTGGTGGTGTTAATGGTGTTGGATATGTTTTGAAGCCATTTGATGAGAGCAGGTTCGGTCCTGTTTTTCAACAAACGAACAAGGGTTTCGGAATATTGGAGGATATCAATGTACAAGATGACTCGTGTATGTCTTTTGAGTTTCAGCCGGACATGGTTGACTCTCATAATCTAATTGACACAAAGGCAAACTCGCATGTTAGTGAACGATCAATGACCGAGCTTTGCAAGCCTTTGCAACCAGGTAAACTAGACGAGTCTAGTGAGCTGGTGAGCGATATGTATTTATTGGATACATGTGATGCCAAAATCTGGGACACTAGGTATCCTACATCTTCAACAAAAGAGATCGATCTCCAGCCGACATGCAACATAATCGAAGAGATTTTTGGACAAGACACTTTGAGGTAAGAACAAATTGTTTGCTCTTGAAATGTCCAGAATCTTCTCATTAGTTAAAAGGCCAAGGTTTTGGTTCTTCAACAATAATTTTTCCTTGTAAATTCCTCAACCTAATGTATTTTGCTTCAGCATGTTAACAAGTGCTGTTAATGGAATCTTTTCTTCTTCTGTATATGATATTGGACTTGTACAATAGTATTATAAAATGGTCACTGAAGTTTATCGAATTTGTTATAAAATAATTATTAAATTTATCAAAATTAAAGCTTCACCAAGCGCATACTAAAAAACCTAGTCAAAGTAAATTGCATTGTACCACAAACATGGTGAGACATCACATTGACATCATGAGAGGGCCACTGACTGAGACATTGCAGCTCGAGTTTTCCAACTGGACCAGCAAATTGTGTGTTTTAGGGTTTGGTGAGATTTGGCAAAGATTTCGATTATCAAGTTTCTTTTCGGACATGTCTTGGTTTATCATTTTGGCATCAAATGTTCCTCCTCTTGGAAAAATACTTTTTTATGAGTTAATCTCATTTTTTAACATTTGGTTGATAATGGAAACCAATCAGTTCAGTAGTGGTAGCCATGATTTAGTGTCTGTAATGACTCATATGTCCCCGACGAATACGATGATTTAATACTGTGAAGGGAAGAAATTGATCGATGATATGATTTATATTTTTCACATTAAACCAAGAGTTATTGGTCAATGATCATTTGTTTAGAAAAATTTTCCCTGGTATGTTTCGGGGGAGCTTATAAGAGGGTCTCCTAAAATATATGAGTATTTACAATTTACATTCTTTTTTCCTATAATTTAGTTACTTTCACTTATATCTTATATATTGATTAATTAATTTGAATCGAATATTACATAAATTCATTATGGGAGTGATTCTTTTAATATATTTTATTTTATTCACAACGTCAATAATAAAAATAAAAGAAAGGGGCAATTACAATGTGACATACTGGCATATTACAGGAACTGATCTCTTTTAGTGGAGGCAAAGGATGATGAGTTGGAGGTTCTGCCCCCAGCACTTGTGTGAGCTTTACAGGCAAGACAAAGTTAAGGCATTGTTTGGATGTTACAACAGAAGAACTCAGTCGTTGGGGGATCCTCGAAACGAATCTCGACCGTTCGTTTCTCATCACCGGATGGTTCTCACTTGAATACACGTGTTGTATATCTTTTCTTCCATTTTAATCTCTCTTTTTTGGGGGCTTCCATGCATGGAATTCTCCTCCAACTACAACACTAAAACAAAGGGTATCCAGAGAGAGAGAGAGAGCCATCGGTGTTTTTGTTGTTGTTCTTCTTATGAGCCTGTTCATCGCCATCATTAGCGACTCATCACCTTTAAAATTTTGATTTTTCAAAAGGATCTTGGTTTTCATTGGAAGAAGGTGTTTGGGATGGGAGAAAATGGGATTTAAAGATTGTATCGTTTTCCTCTGGGTCGGATCTCTTTTGTTGTACTTAAAACAGAGAACTGTTACATCTCAGCTGCTGATTCTCGTTTGTTCATCATCTTCTCCACTGAAAATAAAGCAAGCAACTTTGTGATCTGTTCTTTTTTTTCCTCTCTTCTCCTTGATCTAGATTTTAATTCTTTGTTCTTCTTCCACAAGATAACTGAAAAATGCAGTCTTTTTTTGAAGATTTGAGGTAAGAAATGAGTTGCTCTTCCTGTTTAGTTAACTGGGTATTTTCAGCTTTCCAGTGATCATTTTTAAAAATGGAACAAAATCAAAAGAAGAAGTTTGTTTGCAAGTATTGCAACAAAGGGTACCCTTCTGGTAAGTCTTTAGGGGGTCACATAAGAACTCATATGAACAATGAGAATTCTGCTGAAGCTGGTGGTGGCCAATCTGCGACTTACGATCTGAGGGAAAACCCCAAGAAAAACAAGAGGCTTTCAGAATCAGGCAATGGCTCTTTGCTCAAAGAGATGATGATTTGTAAAGAATGTGGTAAGGGTTTCCATTCATTGAAAGCACTCTGTGGTCACATGGCTTGTCACTCTGAGAAAGAAAGGACCGTTCACAAATTTGAGGATCATTGGGATAGTCATTCAGACACTGAAACATCAACTGTTCCTGGTAGAAGTAGGAGATCCAGGAGAATAAGGTGCAAAACAAGTGGGGTTCATCAGGTTCAAGTTCATTCTAACGATTCAGTTTGTTTACCAAATGGTTCATCATCTGCATCAGAGATTGAAGATCAGCAAGAACAAGCAGAGGTTGCTGTGTGTTTGATGATGCTTTCAAGGGATTCTTCTGGTTGCAAGAAAGGGCTGAACGCAGTTGCTGATTCTTCATATTACAACTCTGTTGTTTTGGATGCTAAATCATCTTCCATTGATGTGAGGATTGTTGAATGTAAGAAACTTAAGGTGAGGTCTAGATCTGGTAAAAATGTGAGTAAATTCAAGTGTGTGAAAACTGAAGTAGGTGATAATCAAGCTGATAGCTTTGCAAATGGCTCTTTTCATACTCAAATGACTGGTACCAAAGTGACCAAGTTCTCAAATGGCAATTCTGAGAAGAGATTGGTTTCAAAGAAAAACAAAGGGCATGAATGCCCTTTCTGCTGCAGGGTTTTCAAGTCAGGCCAAGCTTTAGGAGGTCACAAAAGGTCCCATTCGTTGGAGGTTCAGAGGAAACAACATTGGTCACCCAACAAGACTCACCAGAAACTCCATTGCCAGCTCTAATTGACCTTAACCTTCCAGCTCCCGTTGAAGAAGATGCAATGGGGAATTCTGGGTTCATCCCAACAGTGTGTAAATGAACAAATTTACTTCCTTTTTTGGAGTTTCTCTTTGGTTTTCTGATTCAAGATGGTACTGTCAACCGTGTTCACCATTTTTGCAATTATATTTTCTTGTTGGAAGCAATCATATGTTATCTACAAAATACAAATCTCACTGTTGAAGTGTTTTTTTTTCTTTTTGTTCATAGTTTAAAGCGTTGTGTTAAAGAAGAAACAAGGACCACCTGCTGTGGGGAAACATTAAGGAAAGTTTCATGGCAGGGAGTGGAAAAGAAGTTTCCTCTAGAATTCACATGCACCTAGGCCTGTATGTGTGTGTGTACTGTTTGGGAAAATGCCTTGAGATCAATTTTAATGCTCTCCTTTTGTCTCTAACAAAGGTAGCAACTTAGTTCAGATCGGGTACTGCAAAGGTGAGAGTGACACTCCTAACTTAATTTGTTACATTCTTAAATGATAAGATTCGGTTCTATTTTGAATATAGTTGAAGTTCATATGACTATCAAACACTGAAAGTCGAAAAAAAATCTTAAAGTATTTTTTAGAGATTTAATACCTAAACTATTAGTTTACATTCGCAAACAATAGGATTTGGTTCTATTTTGAATATAGCTGAAGTTCACATAACTATCGAATACCAAAAGTCGGGAAAAAATTCTCAGTATTTTTAGGGTTAATTACACGTTTAGTACCTAAACTTTCAATTTTTTCAAAATCATATTTAAAATTTAACTTTTGTTTTATTTTAGTATTCGCCATTAAAAATTCTAATTTTGTTTCATTTTAATATCCCATTTAAAATTTAATATTAAGTTTTGAAAACTTGAAAGTTTAGGTACTAAAACGGCTAAAATTGATAGTTTAGGCATTAAACGTTAATTTTTTGACAACAAGATACTAAAAAGAAATGAAATCTAAATGTTAGGTATGATTTTGAAAAAAAATTAAAAGTTTATATATTAAAACGGATCAAAACTAATAATTTAAGTAATAAATACGTAACTTACCCCTTTTTTTTATCGGTTTTCAAGTTGAACTAGCTCATAGAATTTCGGGTTTTCTTTTAGTTAATGAACCAACTACATACTAGAAAGTCCAATTTGCGCTGAGAAATTTTATTATTCTCTTTTTAGTATTTTTTTTAGGTTTAAAGCTGATAAACCCCCCAATTTTTTTGTATGAAAAAAAGTAATATAAAGGACTATTATTGTAATTATTCTTAAATATATAAGATAAAATTATATATATATATATATATATATATATATATATATATTTGGGCCGGGTCGGGTATTTTTCACCCTAAACCCGACCCGAACATCACATTATAATTAAATATTCAAATTCACTTTTAAAACAAAAAAATATCAATTTTATAAATTCATTTTTAAAATTAAAAAGGTATTTATGTGAACTGGTATAAAAGAAAATAATAACGTTTCAAGTTTAAATTTATTAGTGTCTATGCTATGACCCTTACCCCATTATATATGAAAATATGATTTTATTGTTGTTGTTGAGTGTCTATGCTATAAGTGGGTTCCCTGACTAAATTATATTATATTTAATTTTTATTAAGTTTGAATATTTATTCAAAGATATTTCAATTATTAATTTAATTATACTTTACAATAATATATCTTATGATAGTGTTTAGAGAATGTGGTAATTATATTTGTAATTGTGGTTATAATTGTACTTATGCACATAGGGACAAAAGCATGTAGTAGGTAAGAACGTTTATGGCTCTCAACTTTGATTGTATTTTAAGTCATTAAAATATAGTTTAATTATCTTTATAAGATACTTTGATTTTAAATTAATGAAATTAGACTCTATTTTCTTGATTTAATTATATTTAAAAAAAATCGTTCTAAAATTAACTTAATCTCCTCATAATCGTCATCTATATATGACAAACTTGAAATTATAAGTATAAAGCTGATGACTACTATTTATATATGCTAAATATATAATGAAAAATATAAGTGTGTAAAAAGAAAAAAAAAAGATGTATAACTTTATTGAAAATATAAAAAGGGTTTTTTGTCAATTTTTTTTAAATAAAAATTAAGGGTAAACTATGCATTTAGTACCTAAACTATCAGTTTTGACCCGTTTCAGTACTTAGCTTTTATTTTTTTTCAAAATCATACCTAACATTTAATTTTTATTTCATTTTAGTACCTACTGTTAAAAACTTAATTTGTTTAGTGTCTAAACTAAACTATCCGTTTTGGTCCGTTTTAGTACTTAAACTTTTACTTTTCAAAACTTAACGTTTAATTTTAAACGCAGATACTAAAATGATACAAAAACTAAAGTTTTTAGTGCTGGGTAATGAAATGAAAAAAATCTTTAGGTATGATTTTGAGAAAAAATGAAAGTTTAGGTACAGCAGACCAAATATTATAGTTTATGTACTAAAAAAGTAATTTAACCTAAAAATAAAAATTAGGAGAAACCTCGCAGTCACAGCAAGTGGAGAGCGACTATATAGGTCCATCGCATAAAAGTCCAACTGCCTCCAACGACGCATAAATTTACTTAACTGCCACACGAGGAATTCCCCAAAACAATAAAAGATCGCCGAGGATATGAAAATGCCGCAACTAAGCGCCAGTTCAGACCTCCTGCCACGGTGATAGCGGCATTAATCGTACGATGATTAGCTCCTCCGTCTACGGCGTTGAAGAGTCTATTTTCGTATAATTATGTCAATAATCTTTACGCTTCAGTAATTGTTCTTTTGAAATTATCAAATTGATCTTAATGAATTAGATGATAATTAAATAGATTTTTAAGTAATATTATTTCAACTGTATTCTTATTTAAAAATTTATAATTAAATATTTTAACCTAATATATATACATATATATTTAAATAGTTTAAAGTGATTAAAAAATAATATTTACTCAAAATATTTCTTAACTATTGACAATGTGTATTCATCCTACAGACATTGCTACTCAAACTCATGATCTCTAGAGAAATAACGCACCATAATTATTAAAACTACGTAATGGTTTCTTAGACCTAATATACTAAAGATAAATAATACTATATCAAAATGATATTAAAAATAAATTCACTTCACTTTTTAATGGTACGGTATCATCTTATTCAATAAAATTTCATATATTTATACATATTGTTAATATATTAAATATAAATCTTATTTTGTATATTTATTATAAATATATTTTAAAGATTATATTCCATATACTTATTTCACAGTATCTCACTAAAGTACATAGAATATACTTATACAAGAGAGAAGAATAGGACAAGTCAGAAACTAGCGGCTCTGAACAAATACCACGAACTGCTGTACCTAATATTGGCATTTAAGCCTGATTATAAACAAGAATTTAGATATATATTCTCATGCACAAGGATAAAATATATATATGCATAAATTAGATAAGAAGGGCTAAGTTTTCATAAATCTGCCCATTAAGAGAGAGAATTCTGCTGAAGCTGGTGGTGGCCAATCTGCGACTTACGATCTGAGGGAAAACCCCAAGAAAAACAAGAGGCTTTCAGAATCAGGCAATGGCTCTTTGCTCAAAGAGATGATGATTTGTAAAGAATGTGGTAAGGGTTTCCATTCATTGAAAGCACTCTGTGGTCACATGGCTTGTCACTCTGAGAAAGAAAGGACCGTTCACAAATTTGAGGATCATTGGGATAGTCATTCAGACACTGAAACATCAACTGTTCCTGGTAGAAGTAGGAGATCCAGGAGAATAAGGTGCAAAACAAGTGGGGTTCATCAGGTTCAAGTTCATTCTAACGATTCAGTTTGTTTACCAAATGGTTCATCATCTGCATCAGAGATTGAAGATCAGCAAGAACAAGCAGAGGTTGCTGTGTGTTTGATGATGCTTTCAAGGGATTCTTCTGGTTGCAAGAAAGGGCTGAACGCATTTGCTGATTCTTCATATTACAACTCTGTTGTTTTGGATGCTAAATCATCTTCCATTGATGTGAGGATTGTTGAATGTAAGAAACTTAAGGTGAGGTCTAGATCTGGTAAAAATGTGAGTAAATTCAAGTGTGTGAAAACTGAAGTAGGTGATAATCAAGCTGATAGCTTTGCAAATGGCTCTTTTCATACTCAAATGACTGGTACCAAAGTGACCAAGTTCTCAAATGGCAATTCTGAGAAGAGATTGGTTTCAAAGAAAAACAAAGGGCATGAATGCCCTTTCTGCTGCAGGGTTTTCAAGTCAGGCCAAGCTTTAGGAGGTCACAAAAGGTCCCATTTCGTTGGAGGTTCAGAGGAAACAACATTGGTCACCCAACAAGACTCACCAGAAACTCCATTGCCAGCTCTAATTGACCTTAACCTTCCAGCTCCCGTTGAAGAAGATGCAATGGGGAATTCTGGGTTCATCCCAACAGTGTGTAAATGAACAAATTTACTTCCTTTTTTGGAGTTTCTCTTTGGTTTTCTGATTCAAGATGGTACTGTCAACCGTGTTCACCATTTTTGCAATTATATTTTCTTGTTGGAAGCAATCATATGTTATCTACAAAATACAAATCTCACTGTTGAAGTGTTTTTTTTTTCTTTTTGTTCATAGTTTAAAGCGTTGTGTTAAAGAAGAAAAAAGGACCACCTGCTGTGGGGAAACATTAAAAAAAGTTTCATGGCAGGGAGTGGAAAAGAAGTTTCCTCTAGAATTCACATGCACCTAGGCCTGTATGTGTGTGTACTGTTTGGGAAAATGCCTTGAGATCAATTTTAATGCTCTCCTTTTGTCTCTAACAAAGGTAGCAACTTAGTTCAGATCGGGTACTGCAAAGGTGAGAGTGATACTCCTAACTTAATTTGTTACATTCTTAAATGATAAGATTCGGTTCTATTTTGAATATAGTTGAAGTTCATATGACTATCAAACACTGAAAGTCGAAAAAAAATCTTAAAGTATTTTTTAGAGATTTAATACCTAAACTATTAGTTTACATTCGCAAACAATAAGATTTGGTTCTATTTTGAATATAGCTGAAGTTCACATAACTATCGAATACCAAAAGTCGGGAAAAAATTCTCAGTATTTTTAGGGTCAATTACACGTTTAGTACCTAAATTTTCAATTTTTTCAAAATCATATTTAAAGTTTAACTTTTGTTTTATTTTAATATTCGCCATTAAAAATTCTAATTTTGTTTCATTTTAATATCTCATTTAAAATTTAATATTAAGTTTTGAAAACTTGAAAGTTTAGGTACTAAAACGGCTAAAATCGATAGTTTAGGCATTAAACGTTAATTTTTTGACAACAAGATACTAAAATGAAATGAAATCTAAATGTTAGGTATGATTTTGAAAAATTTTTTAAAAGTTTATGTACTAAAACGGATCAAAACTGATAATTTAAATAGTAAATACGTAACTTACCCTTTTTTATCGGTTTTCAAGTTGAACTAGCTCATAGAATTTCGGGTTTTCTTTTAGTTAATGAACCAACTACACACTAGAAAGTCCAATTTGGGCTGAGAAATTTTATTATTATCTTTTTAGTATTTTTTTAGGTTTAAAGCTGATAAACCCCCAATTTTTTTGTGTGAAAAAAAGTAATATAAAGGGGTATTATTGTAATTATTCTTAAATATATAAGATAAAATTATATATATATTTTTGGGTCGGGTCGGGTATTTTTCACCCTAAACCCGACCCGACCCGAACATCACATTATAATTAAATATTCAAATTCACTTTTAAAACAAAAAAAAATCAATTTTATAAATTCATTTTAAAATTAAAAAGGTATTTATGTGAACTGGTATAAAAGAAAATAATAACGTTTCAAGTTTAAATTCATTAGTGTCTATGCTATGACCCTTACCCCATTACATATGAGAATAGGGTTTTGTTGTTGTTGTTGTTGTTGAGTGTCTATGCTATGAGTGGGTTCCCTGTCTAAATTATATTATATTTAATTTTTATTAAGTTTGATTATTTATTCAAAAATATTTCAATTATTAATTTAATTATACTTTACAATAATATATCTTATGATAGTGTTTAGAGAATGTGGTAATTATATTTGTAATTGTGGTTATAATTGTACTTATGCACATAGGGACAAAAGCATGTAGTAGGTAAGAACGTTTATGGCTCTCAACTTTGATTGTATTTTAAGTCATTAAAATATAGTTTAATTATCTTGATAAGATACTTTGATTTTAAATTAATGAAATTAGACTCTATTTTCTTGATTTAATTATATTTTAAAAAAATCGTTCTAAAATTAACTTAATCTCCTCATAATCGTCATCTATATATGACAAACTTGAAATTATAAGTATAAAGCTGATGACTACTATTTATATATGCTAAATATATAATGAAAAATATAAGTGTGTAAAAAGAAAAAAAAAGATGAATAACTTTATTGAAAATATAAAAAGGGATTTTTGTCAAATTTTTTTAAATAAAAATTAAGGGTAAACTATGCATTTAGTACCTAAACTATCAGTTTTGACCCGTTTCAGTACTTAGCTTTTATTTTTTTCAAAACCATACCTAACATTTAATTTTTATTTCATTTTAGTACCTACTGTTAAAAACTTAATTTGTTTAGTGTCTAAACTAAACTATCCGTTTTGGTCCGTTTTAGTACTTAAACTTTCACTTTTCAAAACTTAACGTTTAATTTTAAACGCGGATACTAAAATGAAACAAAAACTAAAGTTTTTAGTGCTGAGTAATGAAATGAAGGAAAAAAACCTTTAGGTATGGTTTTGAAAAAAATGAAAGTTTAGGTGCTACAACAGATCAAAAATGATAGTTTATGTACTAAAAAAGTAATTTAACCTAAAAATAAAAATTAGGAGAAACCTCGCAGTCACAGCAAGTGGAGAGGGACTATATAAGTCCATCGCATAAAAGTCCAACTGCCTCCAACGACGCATAAATTTACTTAACTGCCACACGAGGAATTCCCCAAAACAATAAAAGATCGCCGAGGATATGAAAATGCCGCAACTAAGCGCCAGTTCAGACCTCCTGCCACGGTGATAGCGGCATTAATCGTACGATGATTAGCTCCTCCGTCTACGGCGTTGAAGAGTCTATTTTCGTATAATTATGTCAATAATCTTTACGCTTCAGTAATTGTTCTTTTGAAATTATCAAATTGATCTTAATGAATTAGATGATAATTAAATAGATTTTTAAGTAATATTATTTCAACTGTATTCTTATTTAAAAATTTATAATTAAATATTTTAACCTAATATATATACATATATATTTAAATAGTTTAAAGTGATTAAAAAATAATATTTACTCAAAATATTTCTTAACTATTGACAATGTGTATTCATCCTACAGACATTGCTACTCAAACTCATGATCTCTAGAGAAATAACGCACCATAATTATTAAAACTACGTAATGGTTTCTTAGACCTAATATACTAAAGATAAATAATACTATATCAAAATGATATTAAAAATAAATTCACTTCACTTTTTAATGGTACGGTATCATCTTATTCAATAAAATTTCATATATTTATACATATTGTTAATATATTAAATATAAATCTTATTTTGTATATTTATTATAAATATATTTTAAAGATTATATTCCATATACTTATTTCACAGTATCTCACTAAAGTACATAGAATATACTTATACAAGAGAGAAGAATAGGACAAGTCAGAAACTAGCGGCTCTGAACAAATACCACGAACTGCTGTACCTAATATTGGCATTTAAGCCTGATTATAAACAAGAATTTAGATATATATTCACATGCACAAGGATAAAATATATATATGCATAAATTAGATAAGAAGGGCTAAGTTTTCATAAATCTGCCCATTAAGAGAGAGAATTCATTATATGAGAAATACTATTTGTATAAACAAGCAATGTGATATAATTAAGGAATTGTGTTTTCTGGTGAAGGACTCACTCTTATCTTTGAAACACCCTTGGTTTGGCAAGCTCTTGAGCTGATCTTTAGGGTAAGGTCAGTGACCTTCAGTTCATCTGCCAACTCAATGGATAGCCTGTGTTTAAAACCCTAAGAGAAGGGTTACTGTTAGATAAATAAATGAGCTGCAGAACTCAGTCTTTTCATCACGCCCGCAAGTGTTGAACAAAGAAATCTATTTCCTCCCATAATGATCTATTAGCATAATCTATTGATGGCATATCATGAAAGAAGATCCTCCCTTTCCGAATGGAACATTTGTGTAATCTAGGAAAAAAAAACCAGAATCAAGGAATCCTTGTACAATATATTTAGGTCCATATTCAAAGAAATCTTTATATCACACCATAGTGTAAATTAATCTCTTGTCGGTGCATATAGATAGTGAATAGTTAGGTGCATATAGAACTAAATCAAACGTACTTTACTGATAACCCCTAGGCTCAAATTGAGTGAGTACCACGTATAAAACGTCAATCAGAAGATTCTACTGGTTGTTAAATGTCTTTTCACTGGACCCTAAAGGCCTAAAGTTGTAATCTCTGTATCGATACCATGCCTGAAAAGACCTTTTAAGATCCTTGATTAAGCGTAATAAAGTTAGTAACTGGGGGTGTAAATTAACCACATTTAAACAAAGAGATTATATTTATATTCGTTTGTTTATTTTTAAATATATTCGGTTTATTTAATAAGTGTAATGAAAACTGGTAACAGGGGTGTGCATAAATCACGTTTGAATTCATATTTATTTTCATTTATTTATTTTGTAAAGGAGTTTATATTTAGTTTTCTTATTTAATTTTTTAATACTATGTTAATGCTCGTTTATTTATTTGAAAGGTGTTCATTGGTTTAACATTAAAAAAATATATTCATTTTATATTCATGAACATATTGTTTTATATGCTTTTCAATATGCTCTTTGCCAACCGCCCTTTTTTTAACCAAGTCAAAGAAAAATAGTGAAATTATCCCACTAATCCTTAAAATTTTTAAGCTTCATAGTTTGAACTCCAAGTTCACCATGTGTTAAAGTCAGTCCTTCCTTTACTAATATCTAAAATCTAAAAAGTTAAAAAGAAAAGAAGAACCAAATAAACGAATTTATTTATGAATATAAACAAACTGAACACATCTTTATTCGTGTTCATTGATTTACTAATTGAACATAAAAAAATTGTTCATACTCATTTATTTAGCTTTATATACAAATACTATATGAATGATTCACGAACAGTTTATCGAATGCTTTATTTACATCCCTACTGCATCAAAATGTAACAGGCAGTCCAGAAAAACCAAGTAGCCAATGAAAACTATGAACCTTATGATTGAATGCTGCGAGGAACAAGTAAATAATTAACTATAAAGATGTAATAGGGCAGTCCATAAATATTATCCGAGATAGATGAGGACTGGTCAAAAAATGTCAAAAGAGGGATCTATATCTCATGCTTT